GGGGAGGTGCACAGTGACAGGCTAGAAAGCTATTTTCTCTTTACGCTGGAGAGCAGTTGCTGCTGCAGCTCTTCCCCAAGCCCTGGCAGGATGCCTTTCCAGCAGGGTTCTGCCCGAGCGCGGCAGCGGACCGTCCTTCTGGTGGGGATCGTGGTGCTGCTGGCCGCCCTCGTCCTCGCTGTCGTGCTGGCCTCTGTCCTGACTCACAGAAAGCAAGAGGGCAGTCCGAAAATGCTGAGGTGGAAGGACAGAGGGACCACTAAGAATCTGCGAGAAGTCATCCTGGGAAGATGCTACAACTACGTCATGGCGCGGTACCCTGAGCTGGGGTGAGTAGCGATCCTGGGCATGCATCAGGTGTGTGAAGTGAACAGAAGAGAGCTGTCTGTCACCTCCACCTGGCCATATCCACTGGGTTTGTAGTGGCAGAGAGAAATCGGGGGAGTAAGACCCCTGTTTTGTAGCAAAATATACAAACTCAGACAGCAACTGTCTGTGCCCCAGTGGTGGCTTTTTAAGGAAACTGCCTGCAGAGCCAATGTAAGTAATACAAATCCTAGGTCAAAACGTAATGATAAATGTATTTTGCAACTTCCTTAAAGCCAGCTAAAATAAAAGCTGGATTCGAACAGGTGTGAGTTCATGGAGGTGAAGCAATTTGGTGTAAAGCTGATCTGCCAAAAATCCTGTAATGTGTGACACTGCATTCATGTAACCAAAACTACACAGGAGGGAAGAAAAGGAGAAGGTTCAGCACAGATTTATAAGACTGACAAAGATGTTAGTAAAGTGTTGAGAAATATCTTGGGGTTATCCAAAATAGGTATTTTTAGCACGTGGGTAGGACTTTGCAGCGAGCACAGACAGCTTGCACGGAGGGGTACAGATGACTTGCAGTCCCAGCATGGCAGTCCCAGGCAAAAGCTTCACCCACTGGTGGTCCCTGCTCAGCCCATCACAGCAGGTAGCGTAACACCCCGAGCAGCCCACCGCTCCTCTGCTGCAGAAGAGGATTCTCTGGGCCCAGGTCTGCAGTAGCGTATTAGGGCTGAGAACTGATTTTCCAGTCCCCTTCTCTGCAGGCAAAGGCAGAGTATGGAATAAGGAGTGCCCCGGGCCTCCCTCCAGGTATTGCGGACACCCAGCCCCTCAGAACAGGATCCAAAGCAGCCAGGGTCTCTCAGCAGGGACCCATCCATCACTTCTGTGGCACCAGACACCCTGTTTTCTGTCCACAGTAAGCCTCCGGCAGACATTTCCACCACCCCGGGCTGACTGCTGTGGGGCTGGCCTGCACCTTGGCCAGGTGACAGAACCATCCTAGTCTTTGTCTTAAAAAAAGGCAATTACCACCTCTCATTTTCATGACATTGAGCTGATGAGAACAAAGCTATACATAGTTTGCTTGCATTTGGACTTCTCTTGGCCTCAGGTGTCCGGTGCTGTATGAAAAAGCTGATTTGCAGCATTTGGAGGGAAAAGGACATGGGAAAAATCATGGCCTGAGTGTGCAGAGACTTAAGTTCACGTTTTACATTAAACACCTAAGTAGGTTTAGTGAAGGGAAGGGGGATTCTTTTACAAATTAAGTGAAAAAGCTCCTGAAGCTTTTGCAAAATCCTGTACGTTTCTGAAAACACACATTAATTTATTAAAGAAATATACACTCAATATTTAAATCTGAAATTATTTTGAAGCTTAATAGCCTTTATTACTTACGCTTGTTTCATTGAAATTGGAGTGCTGAAGATGTAAAAACCACTTTTGTGTGAATATGTTTTCAGCTAATGTCACCTATGTTTTCATTCACAATACAGTCTGAATCTGAACCAAAAATGTCACCAGGAAAAACTTTTTAAGCAATTATTTCAAGGATACTTTTAAAAAAATCACAAACCCATGATCATAAGTTTTCTAAAAAGGTTATTTTTACAAGGCATAACATTTTGTGCTATTCATAATCCAACAGTGTTTAATAGCTTCATGGCTGTGAGATCGCTTTCTTTCAGATGAAACAACTTCTGTATAGTAGGACCCTTTTTTGTTTTGTTTTATGTTATTTAAAAGTCAAATTTGTCTGAGACAGAGAGCACTGAAAAATGAAAAATATACTCATTTACGTACACCTGAAATGTTCAGGAGGTTCCCAAACATAGAATTAAACGTAGGTGCTTTTCTGGGAATCCAACCTGAGATTCTTCATTTCTGATCCTGCTGAGCTCGGTGCAGTTTGTCATATAACCATCCCTGTCTGTCGCTGGCACTTTCTGATAATGAAGTGGGTGCCGTTAGGACACATCAGAGAGCCCCGTATCTTTCATCCCAGGCTCTTTGATCATTAATGTAGGCTTTGGATCTTGCATCGCGTGAGATCTTTGGTGCACTTAATCAAAGAAAAGGAGTAGGAACAGGGAACTGCAAAAACCCAGGCAGGCTTATGAGCTGAACAAGCTGTGTCCTATACTCACTTAGGACTTTTGTTGCCACTACTCCCGCCATGGGAACCTCGCTGCCTTGGTTAGAAAGCTTCTAATTTCTTCATAAATCTGTCCATAGTCTGTTCTTGCTCTTTTAATCTTACACCAACATACTCATTGGTTTAAAAAGCTCTGCTTTTAGAAAACTCATGGACACTTCCTAAATATTTTTTTTTTATATATATCAGAGCTACTAAGTTCCATCTTTGATGATATTTTCATTTTTTTTTGAAAATAGCAAGCTGTTCAGTGTAGTCGTTAGTGAGTGTGACTATTTACTACTTTGGAGTGCCATATTTCAAATTGGAATAACTGGCATGTTTATGAAAAAAAAAAGGGGATTGTTGGTGTATGAATATGGACTTCATAATGTTTCTAGATGTCACAGATGGATTTAACAGAGGCCACAAGTCTACAGCTCCTATTTAGATCTGCTTTTGCAGGTGGGTGCTATAAATGTTGTGAGAAGGCCACAGACGTGCTAATGTACACCTTCACCATCACATCTGCTTTAATCCTAGAGGATCCCTCCTTGACTCTCCCTCATCCTACTGGAGCCCCTTACACCATACGCAGTCAGCACGCTCTGGTCGTGCTCTTCTCTTTTCCAATACAATCTCTGGGCTGAACCCAAGCCCAATGAGGCCACTGGAAAGACTGCTGCTGTCTGCAGTCGAGTTTGGTAAGCACCTCATGCAATCAGATTTTATCCTATTGATTCTCTTATTCTCCAAAATCATCAAAACGTTCAGGCGCTGTATTGAACTTGCTCCCTAAAGAGCAGTTCTCAGGTACTGTATACAGCAGCTGCTGGTAATAATTCTGTTTATCTGCCTGCGTGCAATACAATCCTCAGTTTTATTTCTGTTGCTGACCGGATGACTCTTACCATTTGTGCATATACAGTTTACTCAGTTAGTTTCCTGTGTAAAACTGTTGTCGTGCCAAAATTCAGGAGAAAGAGGCGGGGAATACCAAATAATTAAATAATGCATTTTCAATATTAGCCTCATTTTTTAGGCAAAAATGTGGATGGTATAGCAGCAGGTTTTAGGGGGTTTGTTCCCCGCACACAGAGTTGCACACCTAGATACTGACATTAAAGAACAATATTTCTTTTTGGCTTCCCTGGAAAATACTGGCTGCTGCCAGAAGACAGCACTAAGGCAGTAGATTGTCACAGCTCCGTAGTCTTTTTTTTTTTTTTTTTTCAACATTAACAAATGCTGCAAGTTCTGCTTGCACTAGTCTTGCAAAAATCCCATACTCGTTAGCCATGGCCATTGGTATGTACTGTAGTTTTGTCTGAGTAAGGGCCAAAGGCAGTTTGGTCTGCAGGAAGGACTTGACCTCAAATGACTTGGTCTCCTCTCTCCCAGTAGTACGGACTCCCTCTTGTGGCTAACAAAACGCTCTCAATTCCCATACTCCAGGTCTCCTGCAATGCAAATTTAAGTTTACAAGCATGTACCCCCGGTATGATCAGAGGAGGGGAGGGCGGCGGGGTGCGCAGAGCTGCACCCTCACCGGCACCAGGCTGGTGCAGGGCCCTTCAGGAGATGGGTGCTGGTCAAGGCCAGCTGTGGTGACCCGGTAACTCACCCATCGCTCGGAGGATGCTGTTTTGGGATGGTTTTGCAACTTGATGCCTGCTGGAGGAGAACAGGTAGTAACAGATGTAGCATGAAACTTGTTGATGGGAAGTTAACCGGTTTAGTTTTCCTCTTCACCATGTTTGAATTGATTTGGCAGGCTGAGGTCAGATATGAACAGCACTTTGTGACCTGGGGAAGGAAGGGAGAAGACTCATTATCTGAAAGATTGTAGTCACTGATCCCCAAAACACAAACAATGCTTTTTTTTTTTTTTTTTTTAATCTAGAAATAAACTTATCTTACATTTGCAGCTCAAGAGATTTTTCCATTCCCAGATAATGATTACTCCCCCCCTCACATCTGCAGTCACTTCTCGGTCTCTGATTTACCCAAGGTAAGCCAAGCTTGCAAGGACCTACTATTTTAAAATGGCTGAAGTCAAGCCAGCTTATTTTTTGTCTAACCTCTGCCAGTCAGAGAGCACCGAGGACACAGACAGGGAGCCACTTCAATAACATATGTGACTCTCAGGCCCAGCAATCCTACTATGTCTATTTAAGCAGTGGAAAAGCCCGGTGATGAAGATGCGAAATGTAAAACTTCAATAAATTTTTCATGCAGTGTTGTGCGGACATGCAACATAGATTTCCCCCTTAAATACAATTGGACCAACTAATGTTGTTTCTACAGTTAGTGGCAAATTCCTGTTATAATAAATTTTAACAGTCTACAGTTCCATTAAATTTAGTAAAAGTTGGTACATGTTCAGGAGTGCTTTGTCTCCCGACTTCATGACCATGAATGCGTTTTGTCTTTCCATTCCTTTGCAGCCTGTGGAGATGGAGATACGTTTTGCCAAAAAGAACATACGGAACTGTGATTTTGTGTGAGATATTATTGCACTTGCAGCATAATTTCTTCCTGAAAGAAATCTGGGGTTTGTTGTTTTATGCTCACTTTTGCATTTTGCCTTCATGCTTTGCTAGGCATTTTTAATTTTAATTTCCTTGCATTTGTTCATTGATTGTTAACACTTTCACATCATGATACGAAACAGCCATGATTTGATTCAGTGTCACAAAAAACTTAGTTTTATTTTGTATAACCATGACATTATAGTCAAACTTACCTGAGATTTGTGTTTTCATGAGGAAAAAAAGCCTTACATAAGAGAAACTTTTACTGAATCAGTCTTCTGAAGAGTATGGTGTTACTACCAAATCATAATGCATTAGCACCCCTATCAGCGTGCACTGC